GATTAGGTGCATAGGCTTTCCTGTGACAATTTCATAAGGGATCAACTTATGTTTTGTACGGACAGTGGATCTGATTGTCATCAATCTGCAATACCTTTGAACAAGGCAATCCAGTCAATTTAGTTAGCTTTACCTAATGCTATTGTAGGTGTAATACCTTACTTAATTATTTTATAACTTGTCCAGGGAAACAAGTACCTGTATCATTGAAGATTTTTCCAGGAATGTCCCATGAGGAAACCATTTTCTAATAACCATTTAGCCACTGTTATAACATTAGCCCTTTTGCATAGGAAAGCTTTTATACAACCAGAAAACATGCATTCAAAATGACAATTGAACCAAATTCCTCTGTAAATGTTTAAATGGCCCATCAGGCCATTATATATTTTAAATTTGGGTTATTTTATCTTTTCCATGATGAGTCATGGAATGCAGAGCTTTTAATAATGGAAGCTTTAAGGTCTTAGGAAGGACCAGGTGGCTGTCCAGGCTCCCCGTGAGTCCACACTTAGCGTAGAACTTACATCGTCTTACATACCAATTTTGTTTCTCATTTCAGGTGTACTGCACTGTTTATTAGATGAATTATCACAGGTGATTTAACTTGGGCCATGGAGTTCATTCAAATTACATATCTAAATAATTTCAGAACTGGCTGATTTAGCATGAAAATCTGGCAAAGTATTTTCTTGATATTTAATTGTCTCATCCTGCTTGGGTTAGCAGTTTTGTAAACCAGTCATTCTCTTCATTAGAGTGCTAGAAATTCTCACCCAGTCCAGATGATAGGGTCTTAACGATGTCAGAAACCTGTAGTCCAGAGTGCCTGCCAGGGTCCTTTTCATCTTTTTCATGAACCTCCTTGAAGCCACAGTTCTCCAGTATTTTACTTGCTTGTGAAGAGTTTTCAGAAACTGCATCAGAATTAAGCAATTAACTGTGAAAATAAAATGGTCATAGTTAAAGACACAGTCAACAAGAAATTTGGTTATTTCTGTAGCCTACAATAATTTAACATAACAACAATAATTATGAGTTTTAACACATACCTAGACATATCAGAATTTTAGAAATCCCATATAATTTTGTAACATATATTAATATTCATAAAAGTGTAAGTCGAAGAAGGTTAAACATAATTTTTTATTTGACAGTGCTTACCATGTAATTTAACATATCAAATAAGCCTGTTTCTCTCCTTTTTGAATGCAGCAGGCACCCTCTGTAGCACCCCAAAGTTAGTTTGAGGTAAGAAAAAAAAAATTAATTTTAAATTTAATTTTGGGAAGCCTGTCAGATATGTTAAAGGTTTAAAATACTTAATGAAAATCAGATCACAGGTTGCTGTAAAATAATAATAATTTATTTAGCCAAAATGATAATTCAAAAGATTTTGAAAAGCAAAAACCTTTGCTCTTTGATAGAGAAGAGACTGAATTTTCCCAATAATCAAAAGACCTGAGGAAGACAGGATCTGTTGCTCCTTTTCTCCTCTCTTTTTTTTTAATAGTTTACTCAAAAGGTGAACAAAAATATTTTATTGTGTCTTATTAATACTACACGAAATTTTTGTTTGAAAGAGAAAACCAAATTTTACTTTTGTAATGGTATATTATCAATACGAGGCTAATTTTAATAAAACCTTATAAACAAATCCATCCAGTCCTAGTTTTTGACCACATCATATTTCCATAAACATTTTATAATTTCTTGTAAATTAAAAAAAATTCTTTCTCTTCCCAACTTTCTATTCTTATGTAGTTTTATCTATTTTTTTATTCCTTCAATCTGAAACAACCTTTAAGTAACTTTTAAACTAGACAAAAAAATTTTTTTTTTTTTTTAGCAAACACACATCTTCATACCTTTACAACCTTCCTCACCAAAAGCATATCTTGCTTTGTCTTCCTCAGTCAGCTTCGGTCTCAAGTAGCAGGAAAGAAAACAGAGGGGATCCTGGAAACTGGAATTCAAATTCCCTGCGATATTACCATCTACTGCCAGTTTCTTTCTATCTGGGGCCTCTAACTGGATCCAGCCCAGTTAATTATCAAATCTGATTTGGTTCTGGACCCATTTCAGTTTCTCTCATGACTTCTGAAGCCAGTTCAGATAAAAAGTTTGCTCAAATGAACTCAGATAGCTCAAAACACAAATCCATGGACCTGTGGAATCTGAGAACTTACCTGTGATCCCTAGTCAGTGCTAAAGAGCAACAGGTAAAATGAGTCCAGCAGGTCCTTGCTTGGTCACTTGTTATTCCTGGTGGTGGCTGAGAGCTCTACTTTGGATCCCACTTTCGACACCATCTGTTAAAAACCTTGGACAAATTAAATTTAAGAGAATTTAATTGAGCAAAGAACAATTCATGAATCGGGCAGCCCCTGAACCAGAATAGGTTCAGAGAGACTCTGGCTCTGCTGCATGGTCACAGAAGATGTATGGACAGACAAAGGAAAATGATATACAGAAAGTGGAAGTGAGGTACAAAAATGGCTGGATTGGTTAATGCTTATTTGAACATGGTCTGAACAGTTGACTGCCTATGATTGGCTGAAACTCAGTTATTAGCACAGGAGTAGGTTGCAGCCTATTTACATATCCAGTTAGGTTATAGTTCACTATATATGGAGAAACCTTTAGGCCAAACGTAATATATGTAAGGAGGCCGCTTTAGGCTAAACTTAATTTACATTGCATAGATATACCTTACTTGCATCTTTACATGGAGTTACTTATGCATGTCATCATACTAAATGTATTAGTTTGTGGCTTGTCTTTTCACTTCCTATGGGTTGGAGTCAATTAAAATGACTGTCTTAGTCATTTTTTAAGACACTGTACACAGATACCTTATTGGAAATGTGAAAATATTTCTGTAGGAGAGTCCCAGAAATAGAATTGCTGGGCCAGGCATGGTAGCTCACATCTGTAATCCCAGCACTTTGGAAGGCCAAGGGGAGTGGATTGCTTACGGCCAGGAGTTTGAGACAAGCCTGGGCAACAGAGTGAGACCCCTGTCTCTACAAAAAACAAAAAAATTGGCCGGGCGCGGTGGCTCACGCCTGTAATCCTAGCTCTCTGGGAGGCCGAGGTGGGCGGATTGTCTGAGCTCAGGAGTTCGAAGCCAGCCTGAGCAAGAGCGAGACCCCATCTCTACTAAAATTAGAAAGAAATTAATCGGCCAACTAAAAATATATAGGAAAAATTAGCCGGGCATGGTGGCGCATGCCTGTAGTCCCAGCTACTCGGGAGGCTGAGGCAGGAGGATCGCTTGAGCCCAGGAGTTTGAGGTTGCTGTGAGCTAGCATGACGCCACGGCACTCTAGCCCGGGCAACACAGTGAGACTCTGTCTCAAAAAAAAAAAAGAAAAAACAAAACAAAACAAAAAAAAAAATTAGCTGAGCATGGTGTCACACACCTGTATTCCCAGCTATTTGGGAGAGTGAGGAGGGAGGATCCCTTGAGCCAAGGAGTTTGAAATTGCAGTGAGCTGTTAGGGCATCACAGTACAGCCTGGGTGACAAAGCAAGACCCTGTTTAAAAAAAACAAAAAAAAAAAAAGAAGGAAGGAAAGAAAAGAAATAGAATTGCTGGGTCAAAGGTCCGTGTGTTTTAAACTCTATCGGAAGCTGTCAAAATTGATTTTGTTAATTGGCTTCACCAATTTAACAGTTGATTTATTTATTTTTCAATAAGTATTGAGCATCTTTTGTGTGGTTAGTACAGTTCTAGGTGTTGCAGATAAAATGGCAAAACAAAGTCCTTATTTTCATTAAGCTTACATTGTATTTGGGAAAGACTAAACAAAGAGTTAAGTAAATATGTAATATAAAGGCAGGTGGAGAAGAGAATGATGGGGGAGGATATTGATTAGGGGGACCATGGGCTCTTATGTAAGAGGTGACATTTGAGCTCAGAACTGAATAAATTCTCTCAGTATACAACTGATTGCAATTGCTAATTTGTTAAGGTTTTTATGTATCTAAGTGAGCAGATATCTCTAGAATATTAGAAAGCATTTTTTTAATACTTTAGTCTTATACCTAGCCATTTAAAAAAGTTACTCATTCTGACTGGTTATCACAATTATGCTGTGCTTATAGAAAAAGTTGAGATGTTTTCCATTTATTTCTAGGCCCTTGAGCAGTTAAGATAACGTAGGAATGATCTATTTCTTGAACGATCTCTACTTGCACACATGAGGAAGGCAGTCCTTTCCCAGCTCCTTGGATTCTGAGCAGTGTCAGCTTCCTTCCCCTTTATTCCCAAGGACATGTGCACCCTGGGTAGATGCACTCTCTGCCCGCTGGTCCTTGAGGAGAGGAGGGAGCAGAAACCGTGGCAAAGGGGAGCCTTCTCTGCTCTTGGTCCCTGGGTGCTTTCTGAGAAGTACCCATCAGGCTCCAGCAGCAGTATGAGGAAATACTAGGAGGGCAAGGGAGTTGGATGGTAGATTTGGGCTGCAATCTTTAAGAAGCATTCATTTGCCATTATGGGTTTCATTCTATTTGTAAGATACATGTTCCAGGCTTTTGCTAGAGTTGGGCCAGAAAGAGGGGAGATGTGTGTGCTTAGTGCTCAGTCCACCATCTTGATCATAGGGCACTGAAGGCAATTTGTCCCAGTGCTAGCAGTAGACCCTGTGATTTACAAATGGTTTATTTAAAAAATATTAGCAATGATCTACTGGTAGTCTTCTATTAAAATAACTTTAATCACATTCTAGTTGTCTTTTTTGAGATAGAGGGAGAGAGGGAGTCCCTGATATTTTGGGAATTATGCATTGTATATGTTGTGAATCTAAAAGTAACCTGTTATGTATGTATAATGGTTTGGAAACTGCTAACTTACAAGTAACAGTGAAATCCTTAGAAAAATGATTATATTTATAAATGCCTATTTTCAGGAAGATATACCTGCATTATACTTAGGTTCTGTTGTGCTCTATAGAAAACTTAGAACTTGATCTCTCTTTGGATTATATTCATTTCAGAATCTTGACAAAACTTTTGGAAGTGTCAGATGATCCACAAGTCTTAGCTGTTGCTGCTCATGATGTTGGAGAATATGTGCGGCATTATCCACGAGGCAAACGGTAAGAGAAAACCATTAATTTGATTTGGTTTCTTGAAACCTTCACCATAGAATCCTAAAGAATATACTTACCTAAAATAGAGTAGTTTAGCAGAAGAAATGACAAGAGTAAATGAAATCAAGATTGCCACATAGTAGGAATTATGAAAAACCCAACTAAAAGTGAGTAGTGTAAAAGTATAAGTACACTTGCATAATACTACTGTGTGGTGGCCAACAGAGATCACATTAGCTATTTCCTGTTAAAGATTTTCTTTGGTTTGTATGATTTAATTCAATAGCCATTTTGTGAGCACTGGCTATTTTTCAATTACTATTTGTGTTTACAGAAATGAATTAGACATTGTTATTGACCTCAGTAGATTCAAAGTATAAAAGGAAATATAACATCTGTAAAGAATAGTTACAGTAGATGCATTGTAATGGAATTTTGTATTTCAAAGTACAGGTATGGTTTTATAGAAGAGGAGGTACTGGTCACATAATTTAAATTTACTGAGATACATTAACAACAAAGGGATGGTCAGGTTTATTTTGGAAAAATAAGAAATCAAGGTACCCATATTGTATCAAGGGGCAAAACAGTAAATGGGACAAAAGGACTGTTTTAGTTTGTTTGGGAAAACAGGAGTGTGTATTGCTGTTTCTTTTGCTAATTGGTTCCCTAATCTATAAAATTGGAGTGATAATATTGATGTGAGGATTAAATGAATTAATATGAGTACCCTGTTTAGAACAGCGCTGGTAATAAGTACATAGTAAATGCTTAATAACGATTAGCTGCTTTTATTATTATCATTAACTCACAGTTTATTATAGGCAAAGGAGACCATGAATTAAAATCAGCTAAAGGAAGAGAGATACAGGGCAGAGTCCAAGAAAATTACCAAATATAGAGCTTCTTGTCTTCTTGCCATGAAGTCAGGATAGCATTACTTTCTTGGCATAGGTGCGTGACAAAACACACAGTATTGCCAAACAGGGAAGATCTTGCTTTTATTACTAATGCTAATATTTTATAGTTATCAAAGCTGTATATTAGGAAGACATATAACAGTATTTATCTTGTTTATCAAATAACAATGTCAAAATGAATAAACCCGTGACTTCTTAGAATGTGTGAAAAAATTGGTGGAGCCATGGTTGTAGTTGCAGACATTAGCATGCTACAATTCCTCATGACTTCTTATTGTGTATAACTATCTAAACACTGTGGGTCTGCCCTACAATGGGAGCTCTTCTAGAGAAGAAGTAGGCAAGTGGCAGACAGGAAACTACTCAGGGTGGTGGAAGATTAGTGTAGCTAATGAATCACTCAGTGTTTGAACTGCAGGATGTTTTCATTCTGATCCAGTGGTGCAGACCCTTGCATCGAGCCTTGTTCTAGGTGCACTGCAGAAGGCAGATGGCACAGATACAGGCGTGTAAGAGTGTGTGTGTTTATAAAAAGAGCTCAGTACATTACAAGAAGTTTCAAAAACAAATGGAAAACTATTAAGGTAGGGGGATAAAAAGTGCTTTTTTGGGAAAAATAATATAGGCTGAGTATCCCTTATCTGAATGCTTGGGATTCGAAGTATTTTGGATTTTGGATTTTTTCAGATTTTGGAATATTTGCATTTCTGGTTGAGCATGCCTAATCCAAAACTCTGAAATCTGAAATGTTCCAATAAACATCTCTTTTTAGCGTCATGTCAGTCCTCAAAAATTTGAGATTTTGGAGGATTTGGGATTTTTGGATTTGGGATGCTCAACCTGTAACAAAAATATTATATTCATGCTTCACTCTGTATTTAAAAGAAAACATTAAAAGACCCTACACTATTTCTTGCAGCATTATTTATAATAGCAAAAAATTTTGAAAATAACCAAAATATTCAATAATGATGACATAAACAGTATGGTACATGCATGTATCTTAGTATCAGGAATCTTCGATGACATGGGAAAATGCGTGTCACAGTGAGCAATAAGCTGAACGCAGCACAACCTGAGTTATTAGATATGAACGTACACACACTATGTGAAACAAAGCAATGGAAATATTGACAGTGGCTGTCTGTCATCTGTGGGATTATAGATGATGTTTTTTGAAAGAAGTGATTTTTTATCATTTTAAGCAAGGAAAAACCAAGGCATAAACAAGTCAAGTTACTTTCTTCATTTCAAATTCTGAATTCCATGATTACAGATTTCCCAATTAATGCTATCCCTTGTTCTTTTTAAACAACTATAAAGCGGCAATTGTGGCTAGCAGATTAGAGTCTAAGGAGAAAAGGTGTTAGGACTCCACCAACTCTAGGAGCAAGAAATTCTCCCGTTACCTTTGTAGCTCCTGCCTGGATCCAGACACATGGGCGAGGCTTATACATGGGAAGAATAAGCGATTGTATAAGTAATGTGATTTCAGAATATTAGGAAGGTGCTGAGTCTTCAAGAACTTTTTTCATATTCTCATAATTCCATATTGTTGATATAAAATATTAATTTCCATTTAAATGAAAATACTGCTGATAGGGCTGAGGTGTCAAGCTCTTATCTGTTATTTTACCTTAATATGAAATAAAAATTAATTAATTTATTTTTTTTAATTTCACAATATTAAGGGGGTACAAATGTTTCTGTTACATGGATAGTTTTTATAATGCTTTAGTCAAGGCTATAAGTGTGCCCATCACCTGAATAGTGTTCATTGTACCTATTAGGTGGCTTTTTACTTCTCTCCTCCTCTCCCTCCCGTCTTCTTGATTTCCAATGATTTTTACTAATCTCTGCCCATTTGTGCCCATCAATTAGTTCCAGATTATTAGAGTACATGTGCTATTTGTTTTTTCATTCTTCAGATACTTTACTTTGGATAATGGTCTCTAGTTCCATCTAAATTGCTGCAAAAGATATTCATTCATTCTTTTTATGACTGAGTAGTAACTCCATGGTGTGTGTGTGTGTGTGTGTTTGTGTTTGTGTGTGTGTGTGTGTATATTAAAAAATCACATTTTATTAATCCACTCATGAATTGATGGGCACTTGGGTTGATTCCACATCTTTGCAATTGTGAATTGTGCTGCAAACATTTAAGTGCAGGTGTCTTTTGGTTGAAATGACTTCTTTTCCTTTGGGTAGACAACCCAGTAGTGGGATTGCTGCCTTAGGTCTACTTTTAGTTCTTTAAGAAATCTCCATATTGTTTTCTGTAGAGGTTGTACTAATTTGCAGTTCCACCAACAGTGTATAAGCTTTTGTTTCTCTTTGTATCCATGCCAGCATCTATTGTTTTTGGACTTGTTAATTAAAGCCATTCTAACAGGGGTAAGGTGATATCTCGTTGTGGTTTTAATTTGCATTTCCTTGATGATTAGTGACATTGAGTGTTTTTTCATGTTTCTTGGCCATTTGTTTATCTTCTTTTGTTTATCTTCTTTCAAAAAGCTTCTGTTATGTCTTTTGCCCACTGTTTAATGGTGTTGTTTGTTTTTTTCTTGCTCATTTGTTTGAGTTCTTTGTAGATTCTGGATATTAGCCCTTTATTGAATGTATACTTGGCAAATATTTTCTCCCATTCTGTAGGTTGTCTGTTTGCTCTGTTGATTATTTCTTTCACTGTGCAGAAGTTTTTTAATTTAATCAAGCCCCATTTATTTTTGTTTCTGCTGTAATTGCCTTTGGAGTCTTAGTCATAAATTCTTTGTCTAGACTGATATCTAGAAGAGTTTTTCCTACATTTTCTTCTAGAATTTTTATGATTTTGTGCCTTACATTTAAGTCTTTTATCCATCTTGAATTAATTTTTATAAGCGATGAGAGAGAGAGGGTTCCTGTTTCATTCTTCTGCATGTGGCTATCCAGTTTTCACAGCACCATTTATTGAATATGGCTTCTTTTCCCAAGTGTATGTTGTTGTTTGCTTTGTCAAAAATCAGTTGGCTGTATGTGGATGGTTTTATATCTGGGTTCTCTGTTCTGTTCCATTGCTCTATGTCTCTATTTTTTTTTTTTTTTTTAACCAATACCATGCCGTTTTTGTTACTATAACGTTGTAGTGTATTTTCAATTCTGGTAATGTGATGCTTCCAGATTTGTTCTTTTTGCTTAAGATTGCTTTGGCTATTTGGGCTCTTTTCTGGTTCCAAATGAAGTATAGAATTATTTTTTCTAGATCTGTGAAATATGACATGGGCTTTTTGATGTGGATTGTATTGAATCTGTAAACCACTTTGGGCAGTATGGACATTTTAACAGTATTGATTCTACCAATTAATGAGCATAATATGTATTTCCATTTGTTTGTGTCATCTGCAGTTTCTTTCCTCAGTGTTTCATGGCCCTCCTTGTAGAGATCTTTCACCTCCTTGGTCATACATATTCCTAAGTATTTTGTTTTCTTTGTAGTTACTGTGAATGGTAACTGAGTCTTTGATTTGACTCTCAGCTTGACTGTTACTGATGTATAAAAATGCTACTGATTTGTATACATTGATTTTGTAACCTGAGACTTTGCTGGATTTATTTGTCAATTCCAGGAGACTCTTGGTGGAATTTTTGGGATTTTCTTGATAGAAGATCATATTGTCAGTGAAAAGCGATAGTTTGACTTCCTCTTTCCCGATTTGGATGCCTTTTATTTCTTTGTCTTGCCAGATTGCTCTGGCTAGGACTTCCAGTACTATGTTGAATAGAAGTAGTAACAGTGGGCACCCTTGTTTTGTTCCAGTTGTTAGGGGTAATGCTTTCAACTTTTCCCATTCAGTATGATGTTGGCTGTGGGTTTGCCACATATGACTTTTATAATTTTGAAGTATGTTCCTTTTATGCCTAGTTTATTGAGGGTTTTTATCATGAAAAGGTGCTATCTCTCATCTGTGGAATTACAGATTATTTTGGTTTTTTTGTTTGTAGACTCTTCATTTCCTAATTGCACATGGGGAAGGGAAGTTAATATGACCTCATGCGTAGGGTCTTGTGGGCCAGTTAAAAGTTCTATTATTGCTTCTCTATCTGCAT